GTTTCAACTTTACCTAAATTTGGTAAGCTCCGCTATGCTTTCTCATTTAATTCGGGAGTTAAATTATTTTCTCCCAGAATCTCCAAATCCAACACATCTTTCAAGACCCAGATCAAATGCCACCTCTCCCAGAAAGTCTTTCTTGCTCTCTTTCGCAGTTCTTTGATATTTAATGGCACCTCTTGCTTATTCAGGAAGCGTCCAAACCCCTGACAAGCCAATGAGTTTCTCCTGGTCGGGGAGAGAGGGACACATTCATCAAAGTCCACCCCAACCCCTAGCCCTCAGGCGGGAATTCGGCGCAAGCACGATACTGTCGGAACACTGAATCGATATTTCCTCTTGGAAAGCCAGGGCACACACACCCTCTACAGCCCGCCTCAGATGCCCTTCCCCAGTTGTGAAACGAGGCACCAGCAAAACCACTCCGGATGTCAGTCTCCCCAAGGTCGGGGATCAGGGAATTGGAGGGCGTGCGGGGACTACTCAGGGTCTTGCTTTCAACTTTGAGCATGTAGCCCGCCACGCCAAGAAGAGACTGCAAAGACGCCTGCGCCTTCCGGCCCGCTCTCCCCACCCCAACCCCGGCGTTCGCCTAGCCCTCCGATTGGCTGCTCCTCGCACCAGCCGAGCCTCAGGGCTGCGGCCCACGTGGTCCACTGGCCGTCGCGGGATTGGTTGTCCGGATCGGGCTGCTGCGGCAGCCGGCGGGGTAGCGAGGTGGAGCAGTGTGGGAAACCCCAAGCCCGTACCTCTGGGACTGAACGGCGGCCGGTGGGCTGCGGTCAGCCTCTGCAGGCCTGGGCAGGCCTCCTGAGAGTCTAGGGCGTAAGAGTTTTGGGGGGGTTTCCAAAGCGGGCTGCGGACCCCCTGCTTGAGGCTTTGGTTTGAGCCCTGGATCCGGCCTTGTGTTTCCCCGGAAGGATGGCGTCTCAGTCTTTCCTGAAGTTGGTGGGGTTTGGATGTTATTATTATTATTATCAGCAGTAGTATTGTTATTGTTGTTATTATTATCGTTTGGAGGATACACCGTGTATAAGTATTGGTGGTCCTGCGCAGGGTGCCATGCAGAATGCCATGAGTTATAAGTTGGAGGACGGAGGGCTTAGAGATGCTTGAGGGACGTCCTTAACCTATGTGAAATGTTGGCGGTAAGTCGGCTTTATAAACTGCTGATGCTTGTATAATCCAGGAGCTTAGGGTTCAGTAGGGAGGGTCGTTCACTGACTGAATTAAACTGTCGCTTATTGAGCCGCCTTCTGTGTCCCAGGCATCATTCTGAGTGTAATGGATGCAAAGGCCAGTAAGAGGAAGTCCTGGTTCTTTAGGAGCTCTGCATAATGGGGCTGGTGGGCGAGACGGAAAGTGGGGGACGTGAATGGGTGAATAATTGGCGTGTGATGCGTACTGTGGTGGGAAAAAGTGCTGTGGGAGTCAGAGGAGGGGATGACTGAGGGAGTTAGGGACCACTTAACAGAGAAGGTGACGTTTGAACAAGGTTTTAGAACTACAGACTTTCTCCAGATTGAAAGGGGTAGGGAAGGCGCTCCAGACAGAGGAAAGCTTACTGAGGAAGAGAACTAGGAAAGTGTGCCCTCTGTGTGTGGCTGGAGCACACTTGGAGCTCTGCTCACAAGTTTCATGCTTTTAGACAAGGTTATTTAATTTCTCTTAGCCTGTTTGCTTTTTGTAACGTGTACTTACTTCTGCACAGGTTGATGAGATAAAGGCTCGAGCCTCTAAACAGGCACTTTACTAGTTTCCCTCTCTTTGTGGAATTCAGTTGCTGAATGGAGAACACAGACCATAGATGTACGTTTTTAACTATGGAATATCAATCTACTGACATTTATAAATGGCTGAAGGAGGCATGTTGTGTCTCCAGAATTGTTATTTAGATACAATGCTGAAAAGCTGGAGAGGTTGACATTGTGATCCTAGTACTTTAGCATAGCATGTCAGCGATAGTAAACTCCGAGGTGTCATTTAGAATAAATAAAATGCAGGCAGCTTTCTCATTCAGAAATTCATCATCCATGTTGTGAATTACCCAGGCTTTGCATTGTTTCCTTTATCTTGCCCATGGCCTGGAGAAAAATGAAATTAAACCTTGTATTTAGCTGGTAGTGGAAAAATGTAAATCTGGTAATCAGACCTCAGTTTCTCTTTCCAGCATTGCTGTTATTTTGCTATGGACCTTTGTCAAATCCTAGCCGCCCTGGGTCTTGGACTCTTTAGCAGACTCTTGTATAAAAATTTTTATGACTATACTTTTCATCTTTGTTGGCAGCAGAATTGTAGATCAAATTGTATGTTAAATGAACTGGAGTTTACTTTATAAAGGATTTTAGGAGAAAATCTTTTCTAAAGATTTTGCTTTAGAACTAGATTATAAATCCCTTCACAGACATCCCTGAGATTTTATCATGCGTGGTGTTTGGACTCACTAAAACAAGAAATGTTTTTGAACTGTAAATGCTTCTCCACTCTACTCTGTATTACAAAAATTTTTTAAAAGCACCTCCAAAACAAAACTTGTTCAAGTTTGCATTTTTGTACAGCAGAGTTGCTTGAGGTGAATAGTAGAAGATCAAATATTGAAAGCCCACGGTTGCAACTTATCTAAAAAGAAGTCTTTTTTTCTCATGGGTAAACCTAAGTTTTCTTGGATGTGAAAATAGGGTGTTGGGCTGCTCTTAGATAATATAAGGAGGTGAAAAGCAATGATGCAATGATGAGTGAAGTATATTCTGACTTGGTATTGCCATTGCTTCAGTGTTGGCATTGACCAGGGTATGACCCCTTAATCTTCTCTCTGAGCTGATTCTGGTTGTGGTTTTTCCACATTGGTATGTTCTAGCCTATTTGGATACTGGTTTTATTATGTGTAAGAGTGTTTAATATTCTTCTTAATTACTGATACTTTCCTGTTTTTCTTTGTAGGTTGAGGTGAAAAATATGGCTTTGAAATCTTCATGGAAAACTGCATTATTTCAATCCTGAATCTGGTTCTGTTCCCTTATTGACTTATTACTATATTAAAAATGTTTAGTTAGCAGTGATTGTAAAATGAAAGTAATTAACATGTACATGTTTTTTGGGGGGAGACTAAGGGGAAACAGGTGTTCAGCCTAGAAAAACATTTCTCATTGGATTTCCTGTGAAGTCAGTGTGTCTTGGGTTTAACTTTGAAACAAATTAAAAAATTTTTAAATTAAAAAAAAAGTTTACTTAACTATGGTATTTGTTCTGGTAAAACCTTGTGGATTAATAAGAATTTTTGCAAATATCCATTATACTCTTCTCATGGTACATAAAAGTGTTAATATTTTTAAATCTATAGGATATTCTATTTCAAAATTTAGTTCTATTATCTTAGTGCTATCAGAAAATGTGCTTTGAATTGCTAAAATGAGTTGTGTTGGACACCTGTCTCAGCAGAGGCACTTAAAAATCATTTTCATCCTTCCTCTTGTAGTAATGATTTTTTTTTTTAACCGGTATGTTTTTAACCTGTATGTTTAATCCTGCTGATCCAGTGGCAACTTAAGTGTTTGTGCAGTATTTCACTTGAGAAATAAGGTATTTCACTCAAGATTGAATTCTTGCTGTTGGAGGAGAGGATTTCTCTCCAATATTGGATTAGCAAAAAAAGCAAAATGTTAATACAGCATGCCTCAAAAATCACAGGTAGGGGCTTCCCCGGTGGCACAGTGGTTGAGAGTCCGCCTGCCGATGCAGGGGACACGGGTTCGTGCCCCGGTCCAGGAAGATCCCACATGCCGCAGAGCGGCTGGGCCCGTGAGCCATGGCGGCTGGGCCCGTGAGCCATGGCGGCTGAGCCTGCGCTTCCAGAGCCTGTGCTCCGCAACGGGAGGGGCCACAACAGTGAGAGGCCCGCATACCGCAAAAAAAAAAAAAAAAAAAAAAAAGGCAAAGGTGGCCTGAATGAAAAATTTACTCTAAATACCTCGACTAATCGTTCAGTTTCCACATAATCATGACATGGAACAGCTCTTTGCCAAAAAACATTTATTCTTAAAATTTACTTAAGCATTTTGTAGAAACTTTAGTAACAGCCAGAATAATTCATGTCAGCTTAGCAAAGTCTTAACAGCAAGCAGAAAGAGCTTATGAAAAGGTCCTGTCTTTACACAGTCATAGTTAGGGCAGTATTTTACTTCATCTCTTCATTAATAGCTTTGCTTTCACACTGAAGTCTTCAGACTATTGTGTATATACATTCAACCCCTATTTTCCTGTAACCAGTTTCCCAAGGAAGATATGTGTGGTTCACAAAGGGATCTTTAAAAGGTGATAAACTATAGCAAATGTTACTTAACAAATGAGTCTCAGCATATGGAAGGAGAAAGTGTTTTTAAGTATTTCTATAAAAAGCATGTCCGTTGGGGGGGGTGGGAGGATGAACTGGGAGACTGGGATTGACATGTATACACTGATTTGTATAAAAGTGATAATTAATAAGAACCTGCTGTATTAAAAAAATAAATAAAATAAAATTTAAAAAAGCAGGTCCATATTTCACACTGTTTGCAAACCGATAAAACCTATTCCTCATAGGCAGATAAATGCTTTCCTTTCTCAAAAGGCCTGCTTCCCCTTCACTACCCACTCTACGAGGTCTAACGGGTTTTTCCTGAGAGCTTCTATACCTCTTGTCCTTTAAGGAAGGGGACAGGAAAAGCTTCTGAGCCGAGTACCCTCTTTGATCCCCTTCTCTGTGCTGACCCTCACATCCCCTGCCAGTCCTGATTCTCTCACTCTGACCAGCTCGGTCAACTCTAAGTAGAGGTGTCTAGGGAGCAAGCTAAAAGGTTAAGATCAATGAGTACATCCTTTTAAAGAAATCCATGTGGCTGTTTAAAGTTCATACAATTATTAATTGAGGATGATCAAATAATGCTATTTACCGTGTGGAAAACCAGCCCTCTGGCCTTATAGCGCAGTCATTTCGTTGTGAGACAAGGTGCTAATCCCTTTCAGCTCTCAGGGGAGTACAGTTTAATCAGATGCTGTACTTGTGTTGGATAACCTGTGATGGGACAAGCTCGGTGACTCTTCACGTAATTAAACGCACAGCGATAACAAAACACATAGCCAGAGGTGGCGAGAACGGGGTCATTCACCCGGTTTTTACGACACAGTGGGCACACAGTCTTCATTTGGGGCAACAGGGGAGAATCAGAATTGTAGTCTAGATGTACCGGTGGTGGTGGGGTAGGCAGGGCAGTCAATGACTTGATGGTTTCTTGGTTTCCGGATGAATACCACCACTCAAGGAACTGCAGGAAGAATACACCCACCGAGAGGCCAGTAGAGAGGCATGAGGCGGCACCTCCCACGGCTTGCTTCAGAGCTGACTTTATCTTCTCGCCAACGCTGTTTGGAGAACAGAACAAGGAGGCAAAAGGAGAAATTGTTTATTTAGGTACAATCACAGAACAACTAATACGCATGCAATTCTTACACTTTTCATTAGAACCGTTGATTGAGCTTGGGGATTGAATAGTTGCTGGACTGGCGTTTTCTCTTGTAAGTGTCTATTCGAAACAATTCCCTCTTTCTAACCTACCGTATTTTAGGAGTTCTAGGAGCTAAGCTTTGTTTTTAATGACTAGGGCTTGCTTTGTTTGCTTTGTGTTTTGAGAAAGAAATTAATGAGCCATTGATTATATAGACCTTTTATGGGGGTGGAAGATAGTATATCCAGAAAAAGAAATAACTCACTTAAAAAACAACTCAGCAGTACTGAGGAATACATTTGAACTTGTCAGAGAACACAGACACTAGGAGCAGGATAGCACCATGGTTAAGAGCAGTCTTTAGAATTGTACTGATCTGGCTTGAATCTAAGCTCTGCCGCCTATTAGCTGTGTGGCCTTGGCAAGGTACTCAACTGTTAGAACTTAGTTTCCTCAACTGTTAAATGGTGCTAATGCATTTATTTCATTGAGCTGTGATGAGGATTGAGATAATATACGTAAACACCTAGCAAAGGGCCTGGTACATAGCAAGTGTGTGCAAAAATGTAGCCAGTATGATGAGGAAGGTTACCAGGATGGCAATCCTTGTTTTATGGACACAAGAATTTTTCGATGATTTTATGAAATAATCCAAAGTGGACTGAGGGAGGTAAATTTCATAAAATTGGGATAAGATTTTAGGATTTATTAATCAAATATGTTGGGGAAATGTTAAGGCCTTACCTCCCAGCTGGTTGCTGCATCATGCTGGCTCCGCCTGGTTTGTGCTCCAGAGCTTGTATATCCTGAACTGTAAGTCGACCTAGCCGAACCCCAGCCAGACTCAGCAGTGGTGAGTGATGCTGAGCCTTTCCTAGGATGTATCGAAGCTGCTGTACAAGAAACCAGCCTTCCCAGGCCATGTTAACAAATGGGTAGGCTGCCAAAAAGGCCCTGTAAAATCGTTTCCAGCGGGAAGTAGGGGGATGGATGGAATATTCATCCTCTTCTCTCAGGCTAGAAATCAGCTTCTCCAGCTTCACTTTCAGATAGGGAAGAAGAACCAGGAAAATAACTGACTTCCAAAGCTGCTTCTTTGGGAGACCAGCACTGGCCAGTCTCTGAAGCTTGTGTGTGTCTCCCATTACGATCCTCTTTAAGCCATAGAAGTTTTCAGAAAACGAGGCGCTGGTTTTAGACAGATAATGTTGCTGGAGCAGAAGATCTAGCAGCGTGAAGATTTCATCAAACCACTTCCACAAGAAGCCGTAGCGGGCAGGATTTGATTCTGCAAGAACCTAAAGCAAAATAAGTAAATGAAATTCATTCCATTACACAGCTACTATGCCTTGTATTTATATTTCCTTTTTTTCCCTCTGAATTTCCACACTTTTCTTTCTGGGTCTACCTTAACCTCCCTGAAGTGCTGGGTATTCAGTACACATAACAAGAGACTCCATAACCATTAAATCACGTGATGTGCATTATACGCTAATTGGTTATTTCAAAACTTAGGCCAACAAATAAATTCAGATTATTGGCTTGGTTTTTACCCGGACGTTCCTAAAACTTTTCAGAGAATTAAATCCTTACCTTGACCACATGCTGAAGAGCAGGTCTCACTGCTGTCATTAAACTGTCCTGTGCTACCACCTCAAAGATGGATGGCTGGTCATCCACCGCAGAAGCAGCTGTGATGTGAGCCCCGTGCTCAGCCATAGTTCCGTGTGTGCACTGGGTTTTACTTTGCCCACAAACTCTCTAGTAAGCATGAACTTTCTGGGGGTGCCAGATGGGTGCTAATTTACAGGAACTGGGCAAAAAAGACCTCTTCCGGAGGCAGAGGGGAGGGGTCTCAAGTGAAGGTGAAGAATGAAGTCAACGCGGACACCCACGTTAGGGAAGTTGTGTGTGGGAGAGGTGAGTTGATTAATGCTGCACCTCACAGGGAAAAGCGTGACTATGGGGGGACAGGTACGGCGAAGGAGCGCTGGCCTCTCGAGCGGCAGTCCTGGAGGCGGCCAATCACGGACTCCCAATCCGGAGGGCTCAAAAGCCAGGCGGCTCTGAGGGATCGAAGGTGCCAGTGCAGGCCGGCCCCAACGGCCTGGCTCAGCTGTGGGCTGTGCAATCCCCCCGCCCGCGCCAGTCCTTGCGAGCTGACCCCAGGCGAGGGGCGAGGAACCCGCGGCGCCGCGTTTGAAAGCCGGTCTCGGCTTTATGTCAGAAGCCGCAACCGGAAATAGAAGCCGCTTGGAACCCGGTGGCCGTGGAGAGGCACTCTAGCCCCGAACGCGGCCCCGCGACCGGAACTAGAGAACTCTATGATCTCACAGGGACTTCCGCTTCCACCCCCAGCTGAAAGTAAAGAATCCTCAGCGGGCTCGGTTGGAGAGGAGTTTCCCGCTGGTTGGTTTTACTTTTCTTAGCTGGTTTTGCATCGCTGTCTTGTTGGAAAGCCACAGCTCTGATATCTCTCTACAGAGTCTTTTTGGCAAGGTGCTGTGTCGCCGCGCTGAAGTCTGGCGCCCGGAGCCAGAGCTCGGCCTGTTGCTGAGGCCTTTGTTCCCTGGGGCGATAGAGATAGAGGCGAGGGACCCAAGGGAATGTGGAGATGGAAGGCTCACTTTGCTTGCGGCGGGGGTGGTGGCTCACTATTTTTGCCGCCTTCGGGAAGGATTTGAAGTGACAAAGCCGAGATAGAAGCCTTAGCATTATGGCTGCCAGTTATTAAAAAAAAATGTCCTGCTGTTGTTCAGAATTTGGGACGATTATTTTTCATTCAAACTGGTACCTTAGTTGTCTTCTAGGTTAGGTTACGTTCGAGCAGAACTCTAGGCACTTGCTACACTAAATGAAAATGGTTCCTACCCTCGAACACGGTAGGATGCGTCACATTAGCGATATGAATACAGTGCTAAGACGGAGTGATGCTGTTGAATTCTAACTAGCATGAATTGGGGAGGCTTGTCAGAGAAGGTACTTTTCATTGTATACCAAAGTTAATGTAATTAACCTGACCTTTTGCAAACTGCTTTTACATCGTATGCAATTGCCTTGAGTAGCCGCAGGTTTACTGAATTTGGTTAATAGTTAAAGTTCATCTCCTCTCTCTCCAACCTCTCTCCTCAACCCCTGGGCTAAATAGCTAGAAATGGAAGATATTATTTGCTTACTTTATACCAGAGGACGTTATGGTATAAAGATAGTTAATTGTTTCACATAATGAGAACGCTGGAACAAGGTTTGGGTTTAGTTGTTTCAATAGGAGAAATAAAGTCTTGCAAATTAACCTTAATTGTGGTTCCAAAAAGTGTTTCAGGGAATTCCCTGGCGGTCCAGTGGTTAGGACACTGTGCTTCCACTGCAGGATGCATGGGTTGGATCCCTGGCCAGGGGAATTAAGATCCTGCATGCAGCGTGGCCAAAAAAAAAAGTGTTTTATAGTCTGATTGGATACCTGCTGGAGAAAGTCACATTGATGGAAGATTTTACCTTACAAGAGTTTTAAGGAGTAGAGATAATGTATCTATATAAAACACCTAGCTTTAGGTTCTTGGTCAGTGGTAGCTCTTACAGAGAGGCTTTTCTTAAGTGAACAGCAAAAAGACAAAGCTGAGAAATAGCATCACCTAAGACGAGTGGGAAGTTAGTTAAACATTGGTATCAGTTAGGGTTCTTTGGTTACAAGCAACAGAAAACAGGCTAATTTAAACTAAAAAATTTATTAGAAGAATATGGAGTAGCTAATAAAATAAGGAAAACCAGCTCTGAGGGAATAGGAATTACACAGTCCTCCTGGATGTTTCTAGCAAGAATTAGCAAAGTGTCATACAGGCATCGTTGTTGCAATGAACGAGCTTCAACAAATTTCTGTCACTGTACTTATGATTCAGATCCCTATTGACTGACCTTGGTTCAGATTTCATCTCCACTCCCTGTTTCACTCTTAGCCAGAAGAGTGCAAGACACCTTAATAGTCCTTTGAGGGTATTCCAAAAGTAAACTGATGTTGTTATGTGAGAAAAAAGGCAGTCAAAAATAACAATGTCAATTATTACAGCCAATAAATAATAAACACCTCATCACAGATCCCACTCCCAGGATTATGGTGTAATAAGCAAGACACAAAAATAGATTGCACTTATGTTAAAAGGTGTGAAGAGCCATCAGATAGGTTAATATGGTGAGTTTAGAGGAAGAGACAGTAACAGCTGGGAGAAATGAGGCCGTTCAAACTAGCTTAAACAGAAGCTATATTGGCCTTTGTAACCAAAGGGAAGATCGTTTCTAACCTCACGTTTTATCTCAGCTTCTTTCTGCCAGTTGCTTTCTAATACAGCGATGTAACCTGGTATCTCCTGCATCTTATATCAGGACCAGATGTCCACTGAGAAAGTTTTGTGGATTAGGTGGACCTCAGAAGATGAGTACATTTGGGGAAAGTCACAGTCATGGTGACAGGGTTTTCCAGGCTAGGGGAGCAGCGTGGATTGTATTTGAGGAGGAAATTGTTTGCTTTAAATATAGAGAAGAAAATAGGCCAATAATACATAGTCTATACTGTTGACCATAATATAGAGGCTCTTAAATGCTAGTTTTAGTACTTTGCTTGTGGACATTCATTCATTTATTCCTGAATAATTTACTTATTCATTTATTACTGAATACATCCTGTGTGCCAAGCATTATGCTAGGTGCTGGGTAGACAGTAGTAATAAAAACAGACTTGGTATCTGCCTTCATGGAATTTACGGTCTAGTTGGGGAGAGAGATAATGAACAAGTAAAGAGACTAATATATAATTTACAAATGTAATAAGAGGGCTATGATGGGGGTGGCAGTGGGGCCTGGGAGAGAAGAACCGTTTAGATTGGGTAATCAGGGAGTGCCTTTATGAGATTACAATTAAAATGAGACCTAAATTATAAGCCAGCCAGCCCTGTGTGGAGTTGGGGAAAATGAATATTAGGTAGGAGGAGCGGTAGTTGTGAAGGCCCTAGGATGGGAAAGAGCTTGGCCTATTTGAGAGCTGCAAAAGCTAGCAAGAGGTGAAATGAAGAGGAAATGAGGACTGACTGAAAAGGATAAAATGATATTAAGAGAGGTAGACAGGAGCCTAACCACTCATAGGCCATGGGAAGGCAGCTGGATTTTAGTCAAAGTACAATGGGAGGTCGTTGAAGGATTTATACACCGGAGTCATGACCAGGTTTATGTTTTTCAGATGACCCCGTAATGGTTATGTGGTTACATTTACTTTGTGAAAATTCATCAGGCTTTATATTTTTGGTGTGCACTTTTTGGAATGTTCGTTTATACGTCAAAAAAAAGTGAAACAAAAATCTGGCTGCTGTATGAATAGTGGTTGGGAGGACAGTTGAGGTGTCTAGTAGTTCAGGCAAGAGGCGATGGTGGCTTGGAATAATGAGGTGAATAGAAGGGATTGGATGAATTTGAAATATATTTTGAAGGTAGGATTGACAACTTGGAGATGGAATGAATGTGGCAGTTAAGAGAGAGAGAAGTCAAGAATGACCCCCAGATTTCTGGCTAGTAATTTCTGGCAGTGTAATTTGTTCAAATAATTGCAATCACAGCAAATATTTACATAGTCCATACTATGTGCAGGCATAGTTCTAAGTGCTTTACATACACTAATTCATTTCATCCTTGTAATAACATTATGATTGGATATTAGTATTTCTCCCATTTTATGGATGAGAAAACTAAAGAGCAAAGAAATGGGGAAAACTGGGAGAAGGATAGGTTCTGTACAAATTAGGAAATGAGGAGCTATTGAAAGTTTCTGAACCGGGGAGAGGTATGAATCAAAGATTTTTCTGGTGGCATGTCTTTACAAAATCCACCTCTGTCTTCTATGAGTTGTACCTGGAACCACGGCTTTTAAACACCCCCCGCATACTCTTATGATTTGCTTAATTTGGGTGGGCCATATGTGCAGACTTACGATCAGTGCGGTTAGCAATTTGGTGGTGAAGTTTGGGGACTAGGTCAAGGCTAGAGATAGATATTTTGGAGTCATATGGGTAGGAAAAATGATTGAACCCATGGTATTGCTAAAGGGTTAGTGTAAAGAAAATGTATGAATATAGAACTTAAAAATAAAGTGCTTGCTACTTTCTCCCTCAGATACCATCCTATATCTCTTCTCTTTCAGCCATACTTTCTTATGGAGTTATCTATTTTCATTTCCTTACCTCCCATTTATCTTCAAACTTCTGCAGCATGGCTTTTGCCTTCATTATCTCTGCTGATGGTCTCAGCAATGACATCGAAGACCTTTGTGCTGCTAAATCCTTGGACACTTTTCGGCCCTTCCTCCTTTTCTCTATAGCAACTGTTGTTGTTGACCACTCACTCATACATTTATCCATTCAACAAATTTTGGGGAGGGGGCGACTAGGCCTCAGAGATATAGTATATAGTTCCTATACTTTGATAGAACTCTAAAAACGTCCTAAATGATTATGACTACCTGCTTTTCCTTCTACCTCTCTACTTCTCAGTCCCCTTTGCACTTTGGTTTTTTCCCAGCTTCTGCCTCAGGCTCCCATTCTTCACATTCCTCTTCTTGTTTGGTTAAAGACTTTATTATTACTTAGAGCAGTTTTAGGTGGGAAGTTTTCGTTTAGAGGGGAAGGTACAGAGATATCTAGGTCTTGGTTTCTGAAAGGAACTTACTTTTGTGTAAGCACGCCTTTTACATGCTGGGCGCCTTACCTACTTTAAGCTTCACAGGCTGGAGAGAGTTATATTACTGGATTTATTTCACAAGTAAGACTAAGGTTGAGGAGACGTTAAGTAACTTTCCTAATCACATTCAGGACAGGGATTCGGTCTCAGATGGATTCAAACTCAGATCTGAGGCCATGTCAACCTCTTTTCCTTGCACAACTCTCCACCAGTCCCACTGCCCTTGTATGGTCTTGGGCTGGAGCACCATTGTCCACATTCCTGAACTGGCCAGGGAAATTAGCTGGGTTTTTTTTTTTTTTTAAGAAAACAGGATGTTTCACTATCCCTATGTGTAAGTTTTTAGAGAACTCCTGTGCGAGGAAACAAATCCAGGGAATGTCAGCTTGTTTAATAGATCCATTCCGATAGTCAGTGAACTTCCTCGGAGGCCCAGACCTCAGGTCGCTTCCCTACTGCGCAAAATTTTTCCGTCTCCAAGGCGACAGAGATGACCGCCTTTCTGGCTCTCCCGCGCGCCTGGATGACGTCACACGGCGATGCTGTCTGACGTCAGAGTTTCCTGTCCACCATCTTTGTCCCTGGCAAAGTGGGTTTTGCGCAGTGGCTTAGACCTGGAGAAGGAGTCGTGACGTGCAGGAAACCATTGCAACACCGCTCGGGCCGTGCTCTCTGGCTGCTGCTGCCACCCCTGCCCTTGCCTCCGGTGAGTTCGGGGCGGCTAACTTTGGGGTGTGTCCCTCTTTCATGGGGAAGGGGGCCAGGCTTGGTTGGAGACGGGCGGAGAGCAATCTTAGGAGCGTGACCGTTGAAGATGGAGTGAGCCGTCGGGTGTGACCGTTGTGAGGAAGAGGGTTGGAGAAAGGCACTCCACCGCTGGAGCGGGGTGAGGGAATCCGCGGGGTGGCAACTGGGAGTTGGGGGGCACTGGGGAAAAGATATGTTCGAAGTGGGGGGTTCGGAGGGCCAGAGGCCAGGGGTGTGGCCGGTAGAGCCTGGAGGCCGAGGGGAGAACCTTCTTCTCGGTTTGGCGTCGTTCACTGAGAGGCTGGGACGTGTCCAGGTACCAGAAGGGGAAAGGGGTTCCCCCAGAGTTTTGCTCATAGATGGGCAGACCTCGCCCGTCTTCTGTAATTTGAGGTTGAGACACCTCTTCCTCACCTCGTAATGGAGGAACATATCCCTAGAATCTTGACCACCTGGGGAAAGGAGAGGAATTCCTGACATTGGAGAAAGGGAAGAGAAACCTCCCGAATTGACCCGATGTGAGAGAGGGGGAAGCAGGTGGGAGTAAATCTTAGCCCGGAGTTTTTTCTTTCCGGTCTTAGAAGGAGCGGTCTGGTTTGAGGAAAGACTGTAGATTAAGACAGAGGTAAAGAAACTGGAACTTCCTGCTATTCCATATTCTTTGAATCCAAAGAATTGATTCATGCTCTTTGTTTTCAGAGCACTGAAAACAGTGCCCATTTGCGGGTCAGACTTTTTTTAAACTCACCTGGCTGCTTCATTATGAAGCAGTGTGAATGAAGTGTGAATGCTTCATTAAACTTTGACTTTTAAGAAGTGTGTTTTAAATGCCAAACACTGTTATAATCATGTGGTTTAAAAGAGAAAGTAAAGAAAACTCAGTAACTTTAGAAAAGGAAGAATGACAAAGGAAGTGGTCTCAGTGAGGAACAATTTAAATTATTAATCACCTCCCTGGTATAATTCTGTTGCTTAGCCTCAGGGTACACTTACAAAGTCATAATAGAAAGCAGCAAATGAAGGAGATGCAGCTGTACAAGAAAACGTGTAACACATTCCAATGATGACTAAGCGTGGTGGTAAGAGGAGAACTGTTTGCAGGTATCTTAATAGTTTTAAACTCCCAAAGAAGCAGGAAGTATAGTGTGTTCTGCAAATAGCCTCACTGAAAATTGGGTGGTAAACTTAATACAAAGCTAACGTTCTGTGACTTGAGACTCAAGAAAGTCCAGTTCTTCCATCTTTTCTTTTTCTTCTTTAACACACCCGTATTTTAAAATATTACGAACCAAGCTGAACAGGGAACGAATCAGGTAGGGCACATTTTCCTTTCTTCCTTCTTTTCTCTCCTTCCAGGCCTAAGTTTTCCAGAATTTATTTCAATTAAGAATTGGATGTAAAACTTTTGAGCTTTTTTTCTTACCGGATAATATTAACAGATTATTTTGTGGTCATTTTTAAATGGAAATTGCAGGTGTGTCTGTTGTAATGAGTTGTCTGCTGTCATTTCTTATGCAATAAATGATACCTGAAGATGCCATTGTCTTTGCATTATTGAAATATCTGATTAGCACCTCTCACCCTTGTAATGAAAGATTGCTGAAATGACCTTTCTGCTTTATAATTTGGTCAACTGTTCACTTTTTCCCTACTAGCACCAACTGTGTAAAGTCCTACTTTATGTGAATTTAGCTGCCATTTCCCAGGGAGCCATTTGAAATTAAGACCCTATTAATTTTTTTCTGGCCTTATTCTCTTTACGGGCACCGGAAGGAGGGAGGAGTAGTTGAGAAGGGACTTTTACAACCTATATTTAGTAGAAACTAGGTTATGTTAAATCTAGATGTATAATCCTGTACAAGGAGACCTTTTCTGAAATGCAGTGATATCATACTCTGGGCTAGGAAAGTTAGAGTGATTGTGCTTTTGACTGTGGCAGCATTATTTTTTTCTTTATCAGTGTTCTGAGGTCATACCTCAGGTCCTCGGAACAGCCGGTGACTTCTCTAGTTTGATCTGGTAAAAAGGTAGTGTGACTTCCAGTTCCATGATGGCTTGGCTTTGCCGTGGGACTCTCCTGAGGAATAAATTCCCCCTGCTCCCGGAAGGAACTTGATTTTTGAGGCTCTTCAGCAAATACTTGACTTATTCTTTGAACTCTATCTTGGCTGCTTTTTCTTTGGCTTCTAAAGCAGACAACAGTTTTTTTTTGTTTGTTTTTTTGCGGTACATGGACCTCTCACTGTTGTGGCCTCTCCCGTTGCGGAGCACAGGCTCCGGACGTGCAGGCTCAGCGGCCATGGCTCATGGGCCCAGCCGCTCCGCCGCATGTGGGATCCTCCCGGACCGGGGCATGAACCCATAGTCCCCTGCATCGGCAGGCGGACTCTCAACCACTGCGCCACCAGGGAAGCCCCAGACAACAGTTTTCACCATCCTATGATTTAGAGAATCTGACCATATTCATCTCTGGTGTGTGATTAAGAGTGTCTCATTAAAAAAAAAAACAAAAACAGTGTCTCATTTAAAAATATATACAGGGACTTCCCTGGTGGTGCAGTGATTAAGAATCCGCCTGCCAATGCAGGGGACATGGGGTTTGATCCCCGGTCTGGGAAGATTCCACATGCCACGGAGCAGCTAAGCCTGTGCGCCACAACTACTGACCCCACGCGTTGCAGCTGCTGAAGCCCACGTGCTCTGGGGCCCATGTGCTGCAACTGCTGAGCCTGCGTCCTGCAACTAATGAAGCCCACGCACAGCAACGAAGAGTAGCCCCTGCTCGCCACAACTGGAGAAAGCCCACGTGAAGCAACGAAGACTTAACGCAGCCGAAAAATACATACGTTTGCAATTTTTTGAGGTGAAATTCACATAACATAAAATTAACCATTTTAGAGTGAGCAGTTTGGTGGCATTTGGTACATTCACAGTGTTGTGCAACCCCGCCTCTTCTCATTTGTTTTTGTTTAGTCTAGTTTATTTGGGGGGAGTTTCTTTTAGCTTAAGTCAGGAACTGACATGATAAAATGTTGCTCTGCCAATATGAGTAAGGGATATTTCATTACTGTTGTGTAGGACAGTGCGAGATAAGAGAGTGGTGTGTTTCTCCTTTTTCTTGAAAAGCAGGGGTTCTTAATTTAGGGTCTAAGATCATGTACTTGATTCTGTCCTCTTCCCTGAAATTTTGTGGGCTGGTACATTATTCTCTAGTTAAGAACTTAGTGCTCACAGTGTAAAAGGACAGAAATCTATTCCTCGATGATGAAATTTGTTAGGGGAAGTAATGAAATGTGTGGGTCACTAATAAAGGTACGATTTAAGACTAGGTTAATTTAATGTTTAACAGATGGTGCTGAAATTTTCTGTTAAAAATTTAATATATGTGAATGTGTATGAGAGCTTTAGAAAACAGAACGATTTGGGGGCCCTTTTTCAAAGGAACAGTGAGAAATTCCAAGCAGCTTTTGTCTTTAAATGTTAAGCAAGTTTTGGGCTTCCCTGGTGGCGCAGTGGTTGCGAGTCCGCCTGCCGATGCAGGGGACACGGGTTTGTGTCCCGGTCCGGGAGGATCCCGCATGCCGCGGAGCGGCTGGGCCCGTGAGCCATGGCCGCTGGGCCTGCGCGTCCGGAGCCTGTGCTCCGCAGCGGGAGAGGCCACAGCAGTGAGAGGCCCGCATACCACAAAAAAAAAAAAAAAAAAAAAAATGTTAAGCAAGTTTTAACTTTTGATGATCCCAAAGGACTAGAGTGGCTTAATAACATCCTGGATAGACCATAATGGCCTTGAGCTATGGCCCTCCTGTCAGGCTCTAGTACTATAATCATTTCTGTATACTGGTTTTCCTCTTTGTATATATAAGTTCTTAGATGATAACTTCAGATTTATTCCAGGTCTTTTTTTAAATTAATTAATTAATTTATGGCTGTGTTGGGTCTTCATTGTTGTGTGTGAGCTTTCTCTAGTTGCGGTGTGTGTGGGCTTCTCATTGCGGTGGCTTCTCTTGTTGCGGAGCACGGGTTTTAGGCTTGTGGCCTTCAGTAGTTGTGGCATGTGGGCTCAGTAGTTGTGGCTCACAGGCTCAGTAGTTGTGGCACACGGGCTTAATTGCTCCATGGCACGTGGAATGTTCCTGGACCAGGGCTCAAACCCACATCCCCTGCATTGGCAGGTGGATTCTTAACCACTGCACCATCAGGGAAGTTCCTATTCCAGGTCTTTTATGTGAAGGACTCCTTTCTTCAGTTTGCCTACTTCACATTTAGTTTACATTGTGAATGGATTAAATGACTAAATGGATTAAAAGATTATAATTCTTTGAATTTCAGCCAGAAAAGACATTATGAAAATACTACATAAGACAAGCCTCTGAAGGTAGATAGCTAGTGGGAAGCAGCCGCATAGCACAGGGATATCAGCTCGGTGCTTTGTGACCGTGACCGCCTGGAGGGGTGGGATAGGGAGGGTGCGAGGGAGGGAGATGCAAGAGGGAAGAGATATGGGAACATATGTATATGTATAACTGATGTACTTTGTTATAAAGCAGAAACTAACACACCATTGTAAAGCAATTATACCCCAGTAAAGATGTTAAAAAAAAAAAAGGCCTCTGTTACAGGCTCACTTTAAGTTATAACAAATAGTGTCAAATCAGAAATTTCTGTATTCTATAATGATTTGTGTGAGTTCTAGCTCACTTCTCTTAACAAGGTAAATTCAGTGAAATTCTTGTACAACCTAAAAGCACTATTGTATAAGGATCAGTACTATAAACATTAAGTAGCTCCTTGGAAAGATAACAAATGAGTCTAATTTCCCTTAAATAGTCCAAGTAGTACATTTTAGAGAACAAATTTGAGCCAACCTTTTTTCATTATTTTATGATTTTCTGGCTTTTTTCCTTAATTGCATTGATTTGTTGAGTGCTTAGGTCTTTTTTCTCAGATCCATAATTACCATTGTTTGTGGAGGTATTATCGCTCAAGTTTGCCAAATATATTATCACTCACGTTGTTTTGACCAGAAAATAATGAGTAGGTGCCAGGGAATCTGTCCAAAATTTGGTGATAAGTATTATTAATGATGGTGGTCAGTAAGAAGATAATCATTTTTTAAAAAATTTACTTGGTTGTGTCAGGTCTTAGTTGTGGCAGGCGGGTTCCTTAGTTGAGGCTCGCTGGCTCCTTAATTGTGTCATGCGAACTCTTAGTTGTGGCACGCATGTGGGATCTAGTTCCTGGACCAGGGATCGAACCTGGGCCACCTGCTTTGGGAGCGCAGAGTCTTAACCACTGTGCCACCAGGGAAATTCCAGAAGATACACATTTTTGAGATACTCATTTTTGAGTGCTCATTTTTCTTTATTAAAAGAAAATTTTAATGTATTTGAAGAAGTCAAGTACATTGGACAAAATCTTAGGGTTTCTCAAATCAGAAAACATTGTCTCATTATTTGGGGAGAAATGTGATCAGTCCATGCTGTTTTGGTTTTACCAGTGGAGCCTTATGTCAACTGGATTAATTCTGGAAATTGGAACAGAAAAGTTAAAGTTGAAGCTGGGATCCGCGTTCTTTTAAGTTTTAACACCAGTTCTGATTCTCTTTAGTACTCAGTGTGACTGGACAAATATCTCAGTTTTTTGCATTGTTTTTAACTGTAAACTGACATTTTTTATTTTGGGGAATACTCGGGGGAATTGTAGGTTGTTGGAAATACGAAAACCATAATTTAAAAATCCATGCATAACACCTCTCTAAGATGTTTGCCTCTCTAGGTGTTTGTCATGAAAGTATTGTCCTACTAATCTACGCTTTTCTTTTTTTTCTGAAAGAAATTCCTTTTATTGATAGCTGCATGTAATGGTGAATAGGTTGATAAAATTTTTTTCTCTTTCAGTTTTACTCTGTTTCAGAATATATGTCTTAGAGTGACTCCATCTTGAGGCAGGGAAGTAAATCAGATTTGCTTTAACGGAAAGTAATGGGGAGATCTTTTGAAACAAACTTTTCCTTATTTTAAATATTGGAGTGACTAACTGAAGATGTATTTGTAAAAAAAATGTAGCTTTAGGTTTTGGAGGCTCTGAGAAGATAATTGTGGATAAAATCATAAAACTATGATAGGTTCAGATTATCACTCTATTCCATTAGGCCTTTGGATTTTGTTCCAATTAGCTTTTGAGGCAAGGATTACATTCTTAATTATCCTTGCATCCCTTTGGATCACCAGTGATGGTTGTAAGGATGAAGATACTTTCTGAATGCAGAAATTCTTGTATATAAATGATCGTAAAATTAGTTGAATGCCTTGCTGGACATAAATAACTTGGTTAAAGGAATTCTCTTCTCTTGCTGTAGGTGCACATTAAAGATCCACAACCATGACTGACTCCAAGTACTTCACAACCAATAAAAAAGGTAAGTATGAGAACCTGATCACAGCCTATTTTGAAGATTCTTCAAAAGTTGTGGTGTAAGATTGTTCCAAGTAGAATGCTCCTGACCTCTTCAGACATGTATGTCTTGGACCATCTCATTGGGGATATCCTACAGAAAAGTGTATTGAGTAAATTATTAAAGTATGGGTTTTTAAAGATATGGCTGTGGTGCACATCATTTTGACTTGAAGGTTTTAGTGAAAGGAAGAGATCCAAGATTGATCCGTTGAAGATTGATAGCTCTGAGGAGGGTAAAAGGAAGAAGCACATTTATTTTCTCTTTTTTAAAAAAATTGAGTTTAATTGGTTTACAATGTTGTGTTCATTTCTGGTGCACAGCAAAGTGATTCAGAGGGGTGTGTGTGTGTGTGTGTGTGTGTATACATATATATATTCTTTTTCAGATTCTTTCCCATTATAGGTTATTACAAGATACTGAATATAGTTCCCTGTGCTATACAGTAGGACCTTGTCCTTTATTTAATATATGCTAGTTTGTATCTGCCAATCCCAAGGTCCTGATTTATCCCTTCTTCCCCTCCTGTTTGGTAACCATAAGTTTATTTTCTGTGTCTGTGAGTGTTTCTGTTTTGTAAATAAGTCCATTTGTATCATTTTTTAGATTCCACATATAAGTGATACCATATATTTGTCTTTCTTTGTCTGACTTACTTCACTTAGTATGGTAATCTCTGGGTCCATCCATGTTCCTGAAAATGGCAGTATTTCATTCTTTTTTATGGCTGAATAATACTCCATAGTATATATAAACCATATCTTCTTTATCCATTCATCTGTGGATGGACACCTAGGTTGCTTCCATGTCCTGACTATTGTAAATAGAGCTGCCATCAACATTGGGGTGCATGTATCTTTTCGAATTAGAAATTTCTCTGGATATATACCCAAGAGTGGGTTTGTTGGATCATATGGTAACTCTAGTTTTTTTGTTTTTGTTTTTGTTTTTGTTTTTTTGTGGTATGCGGGCCTCTCACTGTTGTGGCCTCTCCTGTTGCGGAGCACAGGCTCCGGACGCGCAGGCTCAGCAGCCATGGCTCACGGGCCCAGCCGCTCCGCGGCATGTGGGATCTTCTCGGACCAGGGCACGAACCCGTGTCCCCTGCATCGGCAGGCGGACTCTCAACCACTGCGCCACCAGGGAAGCCCGTAACTCTAGTTTTTTAAAGAACCTCCATACTGTTTTCCATAGTGGTTACACCAAATTCTTTTATTTTTTACTTGGAAATAAACATTTTATTACAAGGAGTACTACTAAAGCAATACAGCAATAAAAAGTAAAAATGAAAGTTCTCTCCCTCCGTATTCCTGTTCCTGATGGGAACTCAGTATGTATCCTCAGTCTTTTCTATGCATGTATTAATACATATGATTTTTAAAATTTTTAACCAAAAATGATTATGCAAAACAATGCATGGTAATTTGATATTTTCTTATCCTTCCACACATGATGATTTCATGCCATCATTTCTGAATTATGGCTGTCAAAAGGCATAATCTCAGTGTAATCATGAGGGAACACCCGTGACAGCTGAGGGTGTTCTATAAAATGACTGGCCTGTACTTTTTAAAAATGTCATTATCATGAAAGACAAAGGCTGGCCAGCTGTTTCAGATTAAAGGAGACTAAAGAGACATGACAGTAAATGTAATGCATGATCCTGCATTGGATCCTGGCCCAAGGAGGATGGGGGTAAAATTACTATAAAAGACTTTATCAAGATCTTTGAATAAGGTTTATAGATTAGATAATGACAGTATATCAATGTTAAATTTCCTGATTTTCATCATTGTATTATAGTTATGTACCATAATTCCTCGTTCTTAGAAGTTATACACTGACATATTTAGAGCTAAAGAGACATGATGTCTACAGTTAACTTATTCAATGAATCAGAAAAAAAAGTATAAATATATAAAAAATATGATAAAGCAAATGTGGCATAATGTTAGCAGATGGGGAATTTTGCAACTTTAAGATTAAAATGATTTCAAAAGAAAAAGAAAATGAGAGGGTACACATAGTGGCCTGGAGCACCAGAAAATTTTCTAGAAAGCACAAGCATATTTCTGTCGTTTGGAGTTATTTAAGGGTAAACTTCTATTATAATACAGAAAACACCATAGAGAGTTGCTTAATTACATTAGCTACTAGTCCATGGCTTTCAGCCTTGCCTGCACATTGGAATTGCCCAGTGAAGTAAAAGACGATAGGTGACGTCCAGTCCTACCCCTGCAGATATCCTGATTTCTTTGGTCTGGGATATGGCCTAGATGTGGGGGTTTTTTAAAATCTCCCCAGAATTTTCTGATGTGGATTGAGAACTGTTGCTAGAACACTGGATTGATAACTGTTGCTAGCTGCTAGCAATGCTTGGTAGATTTGATTCAGGGGAAAAGGAGGGGGGAAAGATAAGAATTTAATAAAGCTGTAGTATGTGTGAGATACCTTGCCTCCGTGCTCCTCCTTGGCTCCACCCAACTTCTTGCTGTTTTTACTGCTTATAGCGTACAAAAGCATTTAGCCCCTTGTCATTCATTTTCAGCTTTTTTTCTTATTCTCTTATCATTCTGAAATGTATTTATTTTTTCTGTTAACATTTTGTGTGCTTTGATGACCAAGATATTTCTATAATAACACAAAAAGATGTAATTTTAAAACTCACCTAATTTTTCAAACCTTCACTTATAATGGGTCCTGGTAACCTTTTTTTAATTCAGGGATTTTTGTAAAGGTTTGAGACTTGCAGATGAATCATGGCTGGGTAAATACCACATTTTAAAAAATGGATAGACTGTGTTCCTTTTTCTTCCTGTAACACCCACCAGAACTGCCACTGGAGCATATTCTTTAAATTTATGCTGTTGGAGTTGGAATAGTTTCAGTTATATCCTGTGTTGATTCTTCAGCTCCTGCTGCTATTCACAATTCAGATTTTCTGAAACCGTGCTGCTTGTCCTTTACCGTTTTCAGAGGTAAGTGATGGGAACCCTAAGAGCTGGATTTGGCAGCAGAGGACTTGGAGAAGAGGAGAGTGACTCCTTAAAGGGCCCAGCTTTTCTGTCTGTGCTTTTTTGCAGCTGTCAAATAAAAGGGTGATTTTTGTAACAGTTTGTTTGCTTTGTTAGCGATGGATTTTGATGTAACAGGCTTTTTTAGTGCTCAACTTCTGTGCTTCTTGCCAGTTCATCCTTCCCATTTAGAGGCTTCAGCAGATCACCTAGTTTGCTGCCCCCACTATTTCTATACTGGTGAACGAGGTTAAAGTGAACAACAAGAACAGTCATAAAGGTGGAAGAAAGTGAGGCAATACTGTGGATTGAAAGTTGAAGTGACAATAGTGAACTTCTTTTTCGTGGTCTTATAGTATATTTTCTTCTTTCTTTTAAAACCAGTTGAGGGTGGTTAACCTTTTTTCTTATTTCAGCTCCAGCTTTCTGAAGATAGGTGAGCCTGGGCCTTAAAATAGTGGTGACAGTCCTGGCATTTCACGGTGCAGGGCCTGAGCAGTCAGTCATTTAAGATTATACCTTTAGAAATGACTCTGGTTTGTACCATTCTTGAAGCTTCAGGATTATTACTTCTGTTCTTAGATTGATTGAACAGGATAGGGCCTTAAAGCCCATTATCATCTTAAAGTACTAATTAGAGCAGTGATTCTCAACCCTGATTATACATTAGAATCACTTGAGGAAACTTTAAAAAGTATGGACATAGGAGTTCTACTCCTTGACATTCTGATTTATTTGGTCCAGAGTGGAGCCTGAGCATTGGCATTTCTAGATACTTCCCGGGTAATAGTGTAGCCGACGTTGAGAAACACTGGATTAAAGAGTCGGGAGAAACAGTTCTAAGGCCAGCTCTGTCACTCGCTCACTTAGTGACATTTGAGCCTCAGTTGTTTGTGGAGTTGAGAGTAGGTGAATGAGGAGTCTCTTCTGGTTTGAAAACATTGATTTGTGAACCTGTTTCCTGCCTGCATTTATTTTTTCCCCAGGACTTTGAAATTCTGACGGGAGATCATCCCTCAGATGCCGTTCTCTCCCCATCGTAGTAAGATATCATGAGATATCTTTCGTTTTTCCCACTTCTGTGCTTCCTGAGATCTGGCTTACACCTTCCTCTCTGGCGATAACCCCAAAATAGCATTCTTATCAATGGGTTGGTTAATATTCTAGGGATTTGAACTGTACCTATCCTATAATTTTTAAATAATCTTATTTCAGTTGCAGCCCTGCCACTGGTCAGCTGTTGTGTTACTTGCTATATAGTACAGTGTTCTGCTCTAGTTCTCTGATCCTGGGACCTCACCCATTTGTTGTCTTTTAGGAGAAATCTTTGAATTAAAGGCTGAACTGAACAATGAAAAGAAAGAAAAGAGGAAGGAGGCTGTGAAGAAAGTGATTGCTGCTATGACTGTGGGGAAAGATGTTAGGTAAGGGTAATCTCTTCTGCTTTGCTCATTTTAGACTCTTACTCTATGGCTTTTACTGCCTTTTTATTTTAAGCGGAGGTCTTTTTAGAAGCCCATATGATTTAAATTTATTTATATATGGCTGTGTTGGGTCTTCGTTTCTATGCGAGGGCTTTCTCTAGTTGTGGCAAGCGGGGGCCACTCTTCATCGCGGTGCGCGGGCCTCTCACTATTGTGGCCTCTCTTGTTGCGGAGCACAGGCTTCAGACGCATGGGCCCAGTTGCTCCGCGACATGTGGGATCTTCCCAGACCAGGGCTCGAACCCGTGTCCCCTGCCTTGGCAGGCAGATTCTCAACCACTGCCCCACCAGGGAAGCCCTACTGCTTTTTATTTAAAGCTATTACAGTCAGAATATATAAGAATGAGTTTGTCCCGCTGGAAACATCAGGAAGTGTAGTTGCTTTTATATTAACTCTGTGACTAAGTTTTTTTTGTTTTTTTTAAGAGTGAAACGAGTTTGATTTCACTTGCATACAGATCTAGCATAAAAGCTCCTGAGAGCTGACACAGTTACAAATCTGTTGCTGAGGTAGTTTTAGAAGATGATAAAAATATACTGAGAAGCAGAAGCCCATGTGTACTTTAATTGGCTCAAGCCAGTGCCCTCAACTTTATAACTCTGCCTTTAATTGCTGAATTCAAGATGAAAATCAGTGGTAACAAAATCCAAAGGGTCTTTTTTTTTCCCCTCCCTTTTTTCTTGTAATTTAGGAAGGCCCTTTGGAAATAAATAAGGATTGTCTGCAGGCCCCTGAGGATTCCCGCGATCCTTTCCATGAAATCCATGAAGTCAAAGCTATTCTTGTAATAATACTTAGGTGTTATTTATCCTTTTCACTGTGTTGACATTTGCATGGCTGGTGCCTTAGTGTGAATTAAGGCAGTGGTGCCAAACTGTAAAAGTAGTCATTGTATTCTTCATGTGCTTGCAGGAAAAAAGGGCAGTTTCACTTAGGACTGTCCTGCATGAAGCACTAAAAATTTATTTCAGTAAACCTTGAACCTTGAGTTCAGGTCTTTTTAATATTCTGTGTGATGAAATAGGAATTAGGCATAAAGTACTTCTACTGCATAGCAACGTGTGACGGTTGACTTGAAGAAAAGCCCTTGCACAGTTGTTTGACTTGTGAAAGAAAGATTGACAGACAGAACTATAGTTAATCAGACTTCAGTATTTGGGAGACATTTTATAAAGAATGAACAAAGTGAACCTGTCACTTCAAGGGAAAAAATTTGACAGTAGATAAATTTTGACTTTAAAGTAAAAATTAGAGTATTGGAAAACTTGTATCTCCCATCGTGAGCTTGATAGCTTCCCAATACTTAGAGATTTTTCTGATGAGATTGGTGGTGAAATTAATGACTGTGATTATTTGCTGCTGTATAATGAAATATGCCACCATAGAGAAGATCTGCATAACTCATTGAACCAATATTTTCCAAATGACCAGTGCATACATCACAAAATTATGCATGGGTAAAATATCCATTCAAAATAAGTGATAAATGAATGGATTTTAATGCAACTTGAACTGCAAAGAATTGATATGAAAAATTATGGTTAATATTTTTGTGTGACATAGTGATTTTTTAAAAAAGTTTGTAAAGATATACACTAAAATATTATATATGAAATGTATGTGCAGGATTTGTTTAGAAATTGTTTAGAGCAACTAAATGGGGTAGGGACTGGGGGAAGGCGAATGGCTTGAGGTTGTGTATGAAACAAGATCAGGTTTGTATCAATATTTGTTTTTAGCTGGGTGATGGATACATGGGTTCATTAAACTGCTGTCTCTAATCTGAAAATTTTCATAGTAAAAGTTTTTTAAAAATCTATTTTTATACATCTTCTTGGGACCATTATTATAAATTATTTAGTAATTCATTTCTGTGGTAAATATTATCACTAGTGGACATTTGTCCTCACATCAAATCACTTTTTAAATTAAGGCTGTTTCTTTTTGTTCTGTCCAACAGCCTGGCACCAACATCTGTTCGCTTTCCCTTCCTCTTTTCTCAGCTCTCTCAATAAGTGATAAATGAATGGATTTTAATGCAACCAAGTACAGAAAGTTTATTGATATGGTTTCAGATTCCATATTGTACCTAACTTTTAAGAAACTACCATTTGTGGACTAAAAACAAAAAGAAAAACAACCATTTGTCTAGCTTTAATGTATCAAAGAAGAACATCCAGTTATGAAAAAGCTATTAAAATACTCCTCCATTTTCCAATTTATATACGTGTATGAAAATGGATTTTCTTCTTACACTTCAGCTAAACAACATTGTGCAACAGGTTGAATGCAGGAGCATGTGTGAGAATCCAGCTGTTTTTGTTTAAAGTAGACATTAAAGAGTGGCAAAAATTAAAACAATATCTTAATTTAAAAAAATAAGTAAAATAGGTAGATTTTTACTTTAAAATATTTATGTTAATATGAAATGCACTGATTTTCCTTTTATTAGTTGGGTCAAATGCTGCTGATAAGAAATGGATGAGTGCAAGAATGCCAAGTAAATGAATGCAGGAGCATGTGTGAGAATCCAGCTGTTTTTGTTTAAAGTAGACATTAAAGAGATTGGCAAAAATTAAAACAATGTCATCTTAATTTAAAAAAATAAGTAAAATAGGTAGATTTTTACTTTAAAATATTTATGTTAATATGAAATGCATTGATTTTCCTTTTATTAGTTGGGTCAAATGCTGCTGATAAGAAATGGATGAGCGCAAGAATGCCAAGTAAATTCCAGCATCTAGTGGTGGATGTAAGGTGTAGTAACTCAAACATCTGAGAAGGTCCTAAGGCTAATGATGACCTTCCTAATGTCATTAAGAAAAGGGAAGTCTAAATTTAAGTGCATTCTATGTCAGGCACAGGGACAGATGCTTTTACTTACAATGTTTTTTATAGTCCTCATATCTTCTGAACTAGAGGTTATTCTGAATTAGAAGTTATTCCATGTTAGAGATCAAGCAGTGTATACTTGGAGAGGCTAAAGAATAATCCCAAAGTCATACAGCTGGTGGTAATGTAGCCAGGATTCTAACCTAGTGTCTGAGTCCCAATACCTGTTACTGGTCACTTCCTTCATGGATGTATATATACAATAGAATTTAAATGTGTACATGGCACACACGTTTAGAACTGTTTCATTTTCTGAAAATGGTTAAAATTTTGAACAAAGGTCCTAATTATCTGAGAACTGTTTTAATAAGGAAACTAATCAAATAAGTTCCCACTGGTCAGGGATGGAAGAATATGTGCATTAAAAAGCATAACAACTGTAGTGCTTTGAACTGCAAAGAATTGATATGAAAAATTATGGTTAATATTTTTGTGTGACATAGTGATTTTTTTAAAAAGTTTGTAAAGATATACGCTAAAATACGCTAAAATATTATATGTGAAATGTATGTGCAGGATTTGTTTAGAAATTGTTTAGAGCAACTAAATGGGGTAGGGACTGGGGGAAGGCGAGTGGGTTGAGGTTGTGTATGAAACAAGATCAGGTATGTATCAATATTTGTTTGCAGCTGGGTGATGGATACATGGGTTCATTAAACTGCTGTCTCTAATCTGAAAATTTTCATAGTAAAAGTTTTTTAAAAATCTATTTTTATACATCTTCTTGGGACCATTATTATAAATTATTTAGTAATTCATTTCTGTGGTAAATATTATCACTAGTGGACATTTGTCCTCACATCAAATCACTTTTTAAATTAAGGCTGTTTCTTTGTGTTCTGTCCAACAGCCTGGCACCAACATCTGTTCGCTTTCCCTTCCTCTTTTCTCAGCTCTCTCTTTCCAGATGTAGTGAATTGTATTCAGACTGACAACCTGGAACTAAAGAAGCTCATGTATCTCTACTTGATGAACTATGCCAAGAGCCAGCCAGACATGGCCATCATGGCTGTCAACAGCTTTGTGAAGGTAACTTTTTCCCAGGGACTCAAGAACAGTCTCTTCTACCTCAGAAAACCTTTTCAGAAGTGTCTCTTGATATGGTTAGTGTCTGCATTGCAAATAAGCAACCTCTGTTCCAAAAGAGGGCCTCTAGAGAAGTATTGGCCATTGAGTAGGAATATTCATGATTTAATAAGCATTCTGTATGCCAGAGTTTGTCATCCAGTTCAGACCATATGGTGAGCCTTCTGTCAGCTGGGCTTGGTGCATCCTTGCCAGGTGGGAGAAGAAAGCCTGGTGAAACCTCACTGTTTTATCTTCCAAGGCTGACAAAGGTTGGGCATATCATTGTAGTGTCAGTAACCTGGGGTTTTACCTATTTTATCTTTGTAGAAATTATGCTTATGGTTCAGACGTAGTGGAAACTACAGGAGCTACCTTTTAATTTTGTTTTATTGAATACGTCTTACAATAGTTGATTAACTTTTTTGTTATTGTGGACATTTTCAAACATATTCAGGTTGAGGGAATAGTATAATAAATTCCTAAATATCTACCTTGTAGTTTCAGTAATTACCAACCTATGGCCAGTTTTGTTTAACTTAAACTCTCCATACATGCTTTCCTGACCCCCAGCTCCTCTCCTACTGGATGATTTTAAAGAAAATCCCATCTTAAGAATGAAAAAATCATTTAATCAGCTGATCATTAAAGAAAGTCCTTAATATTATTGGATATCCAGTCAGAATTCTATCATTAGATTTGATGACCCATGTTAGAGATCAAGCAGTGTATACTTGGAGAGGCTAAAGAATAATCCCAAAGTCATACAGCTAGTGGTAATGTAGCCAGGATTCTAACCTAGTGTCTGAGTCCCAAAACCTATTACTGGTCACTTCCTTCATGGGTGTATATATACAATAGAATTTAAATGTGTACATGGCACACACATATAGAACTGTTTCATTTTCTGAAAATCGTTAAAAATTTGAACAAAGGCCCTAATTATCTGAGAACTGTTTTAATAAGGAAACTAATCAAATAAGTTCCCACTAGTCACGGATGGAAGCATATATGCCTTAAAAAACATAACAACTGGGGCTTCCCTGGTGGCGATGTGTACATGGCACACACGTTTAGAACTGTTTCATTTTCTGAAAATGGTTAAAATTTTGAACAAAGGTCCTAATTATCTGAGAACTGTTTTAATAAGGAAACTAATCAAATAAGTTCCCACTGGTCAGGGATGGAAGAATATGTGCATTAAAAAGCATAACAACTGTAGTGCTTTGAACTGCAAAGAATTGATATGAAAAATTATGGTTAATATTTTTGTGTGACATAGTGATTTTTTTAAAAAGTTTGTAAAGATATACGCTAAAATACGCTAAAATATTATATGTGAAATGTATGTGCAGGATTTGTTTAGAAATTGTTTAGAGCAACTAAATGGGGTAGGGACTGGGGGAAGGCGAGTGGGTTGAGGTTGTGTATGAAACAAGATCAGGTATGTATCAATATTTGTTTGCAGCTGGGTGATGGATACATGGGTTCATTAAACTGCTGTCTCTAATCTGAAAATTTTCATAGTAAAAGTTTTTTAAAAATCTATTTTTATACATCTTCTTGGGACCATTATTATAAATTATTTAGTAATTCATTTCTGTGGTAAATATTATCACTAGTGGACATTTGTCCTCACATCAAATCACTTTTTAAATTAAGGCTGTTTCTTTGTGTTCTGTCCAACAGCCTGGCACCAACATCTGTTCGCTTTCCCTTCCTCTTTTCTCAGCTCTCTCTTTCCAGATGTAGTGAATTGTATTCAGACTGACAACCTGGAACTAAAGAAGCTCATGTATCTCTACTTGATGAACTATGCCAAGAGCCAGCCAGACATGGCCATCATGGCTGTCAACAGCTTTGTGAAGGTAACTTTTTCCCAGGGACTCAAGAACAGTCTCTTCTACCTCAGAAAACCTTTTCAGAAGTGTCTCTTGATATGGTTAGTGTCTGCATTGCAAATAAGCAACCTCTGTTCCAAAAGAGGGCCTCTAGAGAAGTATTGGACATTGAGTAGGAATATTCATGATTTAAGCATTCTGTATGCCAGAGTTAGTCATCCAATTCAGACCATAGGGTGAGCCTTCTGTCAGCTGGTCTTGGTGCATCCTTGCCAGGTGGGAGAAGAAAGCCAGGTGAAACCTCACTGTTTTATCTTCCAAGGCTGACAAAGGTTGGGCATATCATTGTAGTGTCAGTGACCTGGGGTTTTACCTATTTTATCTTTGTAGAAATTATGCTTATGGTTCAGACGTAGTGGAAACTATAGGAGCTACCTTTTAATTTTGTTTTATTGAATAGGTCTTACAATAGTTGATTAACTTTTTTGTTATTGTGGAAATTTTCAAACATATTCAGGTTGAGGGAACAGTATAATAAATTCCTAAATATCTACCTTATAGTTTCAGTAGTTACCAACCTATGGCCAGTTTTGTTTAACTTAAAGTCTCCATACATGCTTTCCTGACCCCCACCTCCTCTCCTACTGGATGATTTTAAAGCAAATCCCAAACATCTTAAGAATGAAAAAATCGTTTAATCAGCTGATCATTAAAGAAAGTCCTTAATATTATTGGATATCCAGTCAGAATTCTCCTATCATTAGATTTGATGAACACAGTAATAAGGTTGTTCTTATTAGGGTTTTTGTTTTGTTTTGTTTTGTTTACTTCTTTTTCCTCTGCCTGGAATTTAGTCTACATTAAAAGCAAAAATCAGACAGCATTTCTAAAATTAGCTTCTATTAAATTGTTTTGGAAAATAAACATGCTTTCTTCCTTCTCGTGGAATTTTTGTTCTTTTTCTGTGTTTAGCTACAATGTACAGGATCATTATAACATTTCATTCTTTCTGTCTGGTGATTCATAGATGGATGATATCATTGGAAAGAATTTAGTTTACATTTTTTGGAAGTTAGCATGTGCATAGGTTTATAATGTTTAAAGAAATGTTTTAATATAGGGCAATTTAAGGGGTGTTCCTTCTTGGTAAGTGCACGGGAGAGGCCACAACAGTGAGAGGCCCGCGTACCGCAAAAAAAACAAAACAAAACAAAAAAAAAACATAACAATTGTAGTGCTTTGAACTGCAAAGAATTGATATGAAAAATTATGGTTAATTTTTTGTGTGTGACAGAGTGATTTTTTAAAAAAGTTTGTAGAGATATACACTAAAATATTATATATGAAATGTATGTGCAGGATTTGTTTCGAAATTGTTTAAAGCAACTAGATGGGGTAGGGACTGGGGGAAGGCGAGTGGGTTGAGGTTGTGTATGAAACAAGATCGGGTATGTATCAATATTTGTTTGCAGCTGGGTAATGGATACATGGGTTCATTAAACTGCTGTCTCTAATCTGAAAATTTTCATAGTAAAAAGTTTTTTAAAAATCTATTTTTAGACATCTTCTTGGGACCATTATAAATTCTTTAGTAATTCATTTCTGTGGTAAGTATTATCACTAGTGGACATTTGTCCTCACATCAAATCACTTTTTAAATTAAGGCTGTTTCTTTGTGTTCTGTCCAACAGCCTGGCACCAACATCTGTTCACTTTCCCTTCCTCTTTTCTCAGCTCTCTCTTTCCAGATGTAGTGAATTGTATGCAGACTGACAACCTGGAACTAAAGAAGCTCGTGTATCTCTACTTGATGAACTATGCCAAGAGCCAGCCAGACATGGCCATCATGGCTGTCAACAGCTTTGTGAAGGTAACTTTTTCCCAGGGACTCAAGAACAGTCTCTTCTACCTCAGAAAACCTTTTCAGAAGTGTCTCTTGATATGGTTAGTGTCTGCATTGCAAATAAGCAACCTCTGTTCCAAAAGAGGGCCTCTAGAGAAGTATTGGACATTGAGTAGGAATATTCATGATTTAAGCATTCTGTATGCCAGAGTTAGTCATCCAATTCAGACCATAGGGTGAGCCTTCTGTCAGCTGGTCTTGGTGCATCCTTGCCAGGTGGGAGAAGAAAGCCAGGTGAAACCTCACTGTTTTATCTTCCAAGGCTGACAAAGGTTGGGCATATCATTGTAGTGTCAGTGACCTGGGGTTTTACCTATTTTATCTTTGTAGAAATTATGCTTATGGTTCAGACGTAGTGGAAACTATAGGAGCTACCTTTTAATTTTGTTTTATTGAATAGGTCTTACAATAGTTGATTAACTTTTTTGTTATTGTGGAAATTTTCAAACATATTCAGGTTGAGGGAACAGTATAATAAATTCCTAAATATCTACCTTATAGTTTCAGTAGTTACCAACCTATGGCCAGTTTTGTTTAACTTAAAGTCTCCATACATGCTTTCCTGACCCCCACCTCCTCTCCTACTGGATGATTTTAAAGCAAATCCCAAACATCTTAAGAATGAAAAAATCGTTTAATCAGCTGATCATTAAAGAAAGTCCTTAATATTATTGGATATCCAGTCAGAATTCTCCTATCATTAGATTTGATGAACACAGTAATAAGGTTGTTCTTATTAGGGTTTTTGTTTTGTTTTGTTTTGTTTACTTCTTTTTCCTCTGCCTGGAATTTAGTCTACATTAAAAGCAAAAATCAGACAGCATTTCTAAAATTAGCTTCTATTAAATTGTTTTGGAAAATAAACATGCTTTCTTCCTTCTCATGGAATTTTTGTTCTTTTTCTGTGTTTAGCTACAATGTACAGGATCATTATAACATTTCATTCTTTCTGTCTGGTGATTCATAGATGGATGATATCATTGGAAAGAATTTAGTTTACATTTTTTGGAAGTTAGCATGTGCATAGGTTTATAATGTTTAAAGAAATGTTTTAATATAGGGCAATTTAAGGGGTGTTCCTTCTTGGTAAGTGCTCTATTTGTACTGTATTTGGAGGCACTTGCTAGGAAAGGAGAATGTATGTTAATCAGGATTTCAGAGGGCCCTCTCTGCTGCTTCGCACAAGGAACTTATGTTGGGCCCAAACCAGCTTCTAGATTCTCCTTTGCTTTCTTGGCTGTAGGCCCCAGATATCCAGCCCTCTTTTCTCCCTGCTTAATATTTGTGGAATGGGACATATCATTCCAATTTCTGATTTTTTGTTCTTGGTGGTGGTTTTTTTTGCGGTACGCGGGCCTCTCACTGTTGTGGCCTCTCCTGTTGCGGAGCACAGGCTCCGGACTCGCAGGCTCAGCGGTCATGGCTCACAGGCCCAGCCGCTCCGCGGCATGTGGGATCTTCCCGGACCGGGGCACGAACCTGTGTCCCCTGCATTGGCAGGCGGACTTTCAACCACTGCACCACCAGGGACGCCCCAATTTCTGATTTTATCCTGTACCAGAATACAAGCCCAAAGCCCTTTTCTGCTTTTAGTGCAGGTCCAACAATGGCCATGGGGATGGTAACACCAGCTATCTAAGCTTCTGCCCAGCTCTGGAATGAATCCTATAGGGCATTTCTTCATTGTATATGTAAAGCAGTTAAATGAATTCCTAGCCTAAACTCTTAAATAGGCAATTGTTGTACTTAGGAAAGGAATCGTATGGGAGATGTGGGTTCTGATGTAGAATGAGACTGGAAGCCTACATTAATTAAATATTCTTTTGTTGCTTATATAAACCAGACTGTTTAGTTTTCTGGTTTATGTACACCTGTAGTTGTCAATGATTGTTTTTTATAGGACTGTGAAGATCCCAATCCTCTGATTCGGGCCTTGGCAGTCAGAACCATGGGGTGCATCCGGGTGGACAAGATTACAGAATATCTCTGTGAGCCCCTCCGCAAGTGCTTAAAGGATGAAGATCCCTATGTTCGGAAGACAGCAGCAGTCTGTGTGGCAAAACTCCATGACATCAATGCCCAAATGGTGGAAGATCAGGGATTTCTGGACTCTCTGCGGGATCTCATAGCAGATTCAAATCCAATGGTAATATGTTTCTGCGTTTATAAGAGAGCAGTATTTAAAATGGGTCCCTTTAAAAAGCATGTTTAAAATAAATTTTATCTTTGGGACATTGAGCCATAGGTTAGCTATGTGAAGCATGACTTCTGTGTGTCCCACAGATTGTCTGTCTCACACCCTACATGTTTCTGAGCTGAAAACCAAGTACTAAAATACAAGAGTGTTTTTTTTTTAATTGAAGTATAGTTGATTTACAATATTGTGTTAGTTTCACACGTACAGCAAAGTGATTCTGTTTTTTATATATATGTATTTTCAGACTGTTTTCCATTATAGATTATTATAAGATATTGAGTATTGTCCCCGTGTTATACAGTAAATCCTGTTGCTTTTCTGTTTTATTTTTTAATTTTTTCTAGGTTATTTTTTTTTTTTGGTGGTACGCGGGCCTCTCACTGTTGTGGCCTCTCCCGTTGCGGAGCACAGGCTCCGGACGTGCAGGCTTAGCGGCCATGGCCCACGGGCCCAGCCACTCCGCGGCCTGTGGGATCTTCCCCGACTGGGACACGAACCCATGTCCCCTGCATCAGCAGGCGGACTCTCAACCACTGCGCCACCAGGGAAGCCCAATACTTTTATTTTTTATTAAAACAATTTTTTAATTGAAGTACAGTTGATTTACAGTATTGTGTTAGCACAGCGACTCATATATATATATATACACACACATACACACACACACACACACACACACTTTTTCAGATTCTTTTCCTTATAGGTTATTATAAAATATTGAATATAGTTCTCTGTGCTATACAGTAGGTCCTTGTTGGTTATCTCTCTCATATATAGTAGTGTGTATATGTTAATCCCAACCTCCTAATTTATCCCCCCCTTTCCCCTTTGTTAACCATAGGTTTGTTTTCTGTGTCTGTGAGTCTGTTTCTGTTTCGTATATAGATTCATTTGTATTATTTTTTAGATTCCACATGTAAGTGATATAATATTTGTCTTTCTCTGTCTGACTTACTCCACTTAGTATCATATTCTCCGGGTCCACCCATGTTACTGCAAATGGCAATATTTTCTTCTTTTTTATGGCTAATATTCCATTGTGTGTGTGTATATACACACACACACCCTACATCTTCTTAAGCCATTCTTCTGTTGATGGGCATTTGGGTTGTTTCCATGTCTTTGTTTTTTAAAGATTAGACTTTTTTTTTAATTTAGTTTATTTTATGTATTTATTTGGTTGTGCTCAGTCTTAGTTGCGGCTCGCGGGCTCCTTAGGTGTGGCATGCGAACTCTTAGTTGCGGCATGCATGTGGGATTTAGTTCCCTGACCAGTGATCGAACCCGGGCCCCCTGTGTTGGGAGCATGGAGTCTTAACCACTGCGCCACCAGGGAAGTCCCTGTTTCCATGTCTTGGCTGTAGTAAATAGTGCTGCTGTGAACATTGGGGTGCATGTATCTAAAATACAAGGGTCTTAAAGCAAACCTTTGTATCATACTTACCCCCTGTATTTGCTCAGAAACAAACCGGTTCTTTCATCATTTTCTTAAAGAAACTTTACCTTAAAGTTTTGGGACCTTTTATTTCTCCTATTGACATTTTAAATTTTGCCTATATAATGAAGGAGAGTAAGTCTCAAAGTGGTACATTGGCTCTGCCAGTAACTGAAGTTCATTTGAATTGAGTGATTGGTCATTAAGTATCATTACTGAGAAGATGGAGGAACTTAGCCACTTTCTCTCCTTTTTTTGCCAAGGCATTCTTTATGTGGAGTTGAGTAACACTGAGCTAATCAGTGGATAACCTCTGAATATTTCACTGTTGAACTTTTTGAAAGAGAGAGTTGGATTTGCTGTGAAATAGACGTGTCTCACTTGCAAATTACCTGCTCAGATCTCTGCTTTGATACTTCATTTGGTTCATCTTACTCTTTGGGTAACCTTGGCTTCTATTTATTATCTTTGAAACTTAGTATCAAGGTCAAAAAATGAAGTAAGCCATATTTTTTTTTTTTTTTTTTTTTTTTTTTGCTGTATGCGGGCCTCTCACTGTTGTGGCCTCTCCCGTTGCGGAGCACAGGCTCCGGACGCGCAGGCTCAGTGGCCTCGGCTCACGTGCCCAGCCGCTCCGCGGCATGTGGGATGTTCCCGGACTGGGGCACGAACCCATGTCCCCTGCATCGGCAGGCGGACTCTCAACCACTGCGCCACCAGGGAAGCCCATGAACCCATACTTTTCATCTCAACTGTATGTCCTGTTTTTTTGCCAAAAGTATTACAACTGTCTTTAGATCATTGATTTTCCTTTTATCAGTTGGGTCAAATGCTGCTGATAAGAAATGGATGAGTGCAAGAATGTCAAGTAAATTCCAACATCTAGTGGTAGATGTAAGGTGTAGTGACTCAAACATCTGAGAAGGACCTGAGGCTAATGATGACCTTCCTAATGTCATTAAGAGAAGGGAAATTTAAATTTAAGTGCATTCTGTGTCAGGCACAGTGACAGATGCTTTTACTTACAGTGTTTTTTATAGTCCTCATATCTTCTCAACTAGAGGTTATTCTGAATTAGAAGTTATTCTAGGCCTTTCTCACCTTCTGAGATGGCCCACACTCTGTGGAGTGTGTTTCTCCTTAGATAAATACACTTCTTACCTAAGGAAAAAAAAAAAGTTATTCCATGTTAGAGATCAAGCAGTGTATACTTGAAGAGGCTAGAGAAAAATCCCAGGGCTTCCCTGGTGGCGCAGTGGTTGAGAGTCCGCCTGCCGATGCAGGGGACATGGGTTCGTGCCACGGTCCGGGAAGATCCCACATGCTGCGGAGCGGCTGGGCCCGTGAGCCATGGCCGCTGAGCCTGCGCGTCCGGAGCCTGTGCTCCGCAATGGGAGAGGCCACAACAGTGAGATGCCTGTGTACCGCAAAAAAAAAAAGAAAAAGAATAATCACGAAGTCATACAGCTAGTAGTAATGTAACCAGAATTCTAACCTAGGTCTGAGCCCCAATACCCATTACTGGTCACTGCCTTCATGAGTATATATATATACAACATGTTTAGAACTGTTTTGTTTTCTCAAAACGGTTAAAATTTTGAATGGATAAAGACATTAATTATCTGAGAACTGTTTTACTATGGAAATCCTCCAAATCCTCTTAATCTGATGATGGGTATGAGTCCTATTTTGTTCCACTTTTTCAGAAGTTGCTCCACATGGTGGCAGCACTGTACCAGCAAATATCAGAACCTCTTGCAAAAGGAATTAATGCTTCTAGGGTGTTCTGCCGTAGTAGTTTTCTTGTAGCTCACTTTAGAAGGGCATTCTAGATGTGAAAGCACCAGAACATCTGGAGAAATTACTTTGAAATTGGAGGGTAACATGTTGATAAAAATCTGACTACTCTTGGGGTTATGTTGACCTTCAGGTTGATTCCTGGTAGTATACGTTGCTACAAGTAATAGGGCTTTATTATATTTTCATTTCCTGTCTTTTATGGGGGAATCTCACACACCTCATTTTCCTGCAGTTGTTTTTACCATTTTATACTTTAGTTAAAACTGACTTTCCGTGAAATACTATTTGAAAGAGAAAAAATAGTTTGAAGTAAAAAAATTCTCACTGTTAAGTCCTAGGTTAACCTCCCTGAGTCTGTTTCTTCTTCTGTAGAGTGAGAGGTACCATCTTAGAGAGTCGTTAGGAGTATTAATTGAGCTCTTGCATAAAAAGCATCTGTGAAAGTGCCTGGCTTATGAGAGTTCATGAAATGATGGCTGCTGCTGCCGTGATTATGAAGTAGACATTAGGCAAAGGTTAGCATTATTGCTACAATATTAATTTAGAGGGTTCTGACCCCTTTGATAGCTATACAGGTTCATATGGTAAGATCTTTCTGAGGAAATTAAAGCTAAACTTATTTCCGGACACAGATTTATTAGTCCATTATTTTGAAAGTAAACGTATTCAGAATGAGGAAGCACTTTGGCATGAGAGGAAAATAGCTCCTATGATTTCTTCACAAATAATCAGAGTTTTGAAAATTCTGTCTCACTAAATTGATATTTGCAAGAAAGATACACTTTTGGGTGATAGTGATAATTCTCTAGCTTTTGCCCATGCATTAGGATTTTCCCTCCTTACTGCAGTTTTCCTTTTCTCTCTTAGAGGCATTTTGAGGTATTCCAACTTCAGTTAATGTTTCCCCCAGAATCTGCCACTCCAGAGACTCTTGACAGCCCCACCACATGTACTTTGCTTTTTGTTTGTGAGCTCAGGTCTCCTAAATCCTTTGGCTCAGCGCCTTAGCCCCTTTGACCTTGTCTTCTGAGCCTTCTGAGTTCTACCATCTCTCTGAGAACTGCCCCTGGGAATGCCCTTCTTCCATTGCTCTGTCCTGTCTGCCAAAGCACAGACTACTGAATTAGTTAAAAAAACAAAACAGAAAAAACCCCAGAAACATATTTTCGTTTGTTGAGGGGTTTTCTGCACAAGAAGCATGCTCTCAGAGCTTGGCCCAGTATGGCCTTTAGCAACGGTTCTAGTTAAACTGCCGGCTTCTTTTAGTATGAACTTATTTTGGAAAGCTGTTTTATGAAAAATAACATTTTTTTCTCAGAAAAAGTATGTATTTTAACCATGTGCTAGCCAGCATGTAGAAGCCACATGAGATTATGACAGTGGTTCTCAACTGGGGGCGATTTTGCTTCCTGGGAGACAGTTGGCATTGTCAGGAAACACTTTTGGTTGTCACAACTGATGGGAAGGTTGCTATTGGCATCTAGTAGGTAGAGTTCAAGGATACTTTAAACATCCTGCAGTGCACAGGGAGCCCCCTACAACAACATGAAGGACTAATTTGTTTTAAAAACTTAAACAATGCCTGACATATAGTAAATGCTTAATAAATGACAGCTATTCTCGAGAAACAGATCTAACGTGACGTACTTTCTGATTATTGTAATTTCTCTTTAGGCTTTAGAAGGTTTGTGGTGGTTTGCTGTCAGTCTGAGAT